TAGTCTATTCCTATCACTCACATGACTAGAATGTCCATGGTATATTCCTATCACTCACATGACTAGAATGTCTATGGTCTATTCCTATCACTCACATGACTAGAATGTCTATGGTCTATTCCTATCACTCACATGGCCAGAATGTCTATGGTTTATTCCATCACTCACATGACTAGAATGTCTATGGTCAATTCCTATCACTCACATGGCCAGAATGTCTATGGTTTATTCCATCACTAACATGACTAGAATGTCTATGGTCTAATCCTATCACTCACATGACTAGGATGCCTATGGTCTATTCCTATCACTCACATGACTAGAATGTCTATGGTCTATTCCTATCACTCACATGACTAGAATGTCTATGGTCTATTCCTATCACTCACATGACTAGAATGTCTATGGTCTAATCCTATCACTCACATGACCAGAATGCCTATGGTCTATTCCTATCATTCACATGACTAGAATGTCTATGGTCTAATCCTATCACTCACATGACTAGAATGTCTATGGTCTATTCCTATCACTCACATGCCTAGAATGTATATGGTCTATTCCTATCACTCACATGACTAGAATGTCTATGGTCTGATCCTATCACTCACATGACTAGAATGTCTATGGTCTATTCCTATCACTCACATGACTAGAATGTCTATGGTCTATTCCTATCACTCACATAACTAGAATGTCTATGGTCTATTCCTATCACTCACATGACTAGAATGTCTATGGTCTATTCCTATCACTCACGTGACTAGAATGTCTATGGTCTATTCCTATCATTCACATGACTAGAATGGCTATGGACTATTGCTATCACTCACATGACTAGAATGCATATGATCTATTCCTGTCACTCACATGACTAGAATGTCTATGGTCTATTCCATCACTCACTTGACTAGAATGTCTATGGTCTATTCCTATCACTCACATGACTAGAATATCTATGGTCTATTCCTATCACTCACATGACCAGAATGTCTATGGTCTATTCCATCACTCACTTGACTAGAATGTCTATGGTCTATTCCATCACTCACTTGACTAGAATGTCTATGGTCTATTCCTATCACTCACATGACTAGAATGCATATGATCTATTCCTATCACTCACATGACTAGAATGGCTATGGTCTATTCCTATCAGTCACATGACTAGAATGCATATGATCTATTCCTATCACTCACATGACTAGAATGTCTATGGTCTATTCCTATCACTCACATGACTAGAATTTCTATGTTCTCTTCCTATCACTCACATGACTAGAATGTCTATGGTCTATTTCTATCACTAACATGACTATGGCTAAGGTCTATTCCTATCACTCACATGACTAGAATGGCTATGGTCTATTCTTATCACTCACATGACTAGAATGTCTATGGTCTATTTCTATCACTCACATGACTAGAATGTATATGGTCTATTCCTATCACTCACATGACTAGAATTTCTATGGTCTATTTCTATCACTCACATGACTAGAATGTATATGGTCTATTCCTATCACTCACATGACTAGAATTTCTA